TTATTGATGAAGGAAAAAATCATCCTCTAGCCGCAACTGCTCTAAAGGATCAGATTTATGTCGATGACGCCCTATTGGGTAGTAATTGCGTAGAAAACGCTCTTTTGTTGAAAAATGATGTGGTTCAGTTACTCAAAAAAGGAGGTTTCGAGTTAAGAAAATGGTCTTCGAATAATCCATTACTCTTACAGTCGATCCCTGAAGATCACAAAGAAAAACCTATTGGTTTTCGAGCTCCCGAACAACCAGTTCATAGTGTTTTAGGACTTAAATGGATTCCTAATGAAGATGTTTTTTCTTATTCTGTAGGAACTCAAAATATTAAGGAAACTCCTACAAAAAGAATTGTTTTAAGTGTGATATCACAGATCTATGACCCGTCAGGATGGTTAACTCCTGTAACCTTCTGGTCCAAATCCTTCATGCAATACTTATGGACACTTGGTCTCGATTGGGATGAACCCCTAGACGACAGCGTTATATCAGTTTGGAACAAGTTCGCCAATGAACTTCCATATATTGAAATGCTCAAGATACCTCGCTACGTGGGACTTTCTTCAGCTAAAGATATTCAGCTACATGCTTTTTCTGATGCAAGTGAAGCAGGATATTGTAGTTGTGTTTACCTGAGAGTTGTAAATTCACAAGGAATTATATCGACTTATCTTCTGATAGCGAAGTCAAGAGTCGCACCTCTGAAGCGTATTTCCATACCTCGCTTGGAGCTCTGCGGAGCACACCTGATGTCTAAGCTCCTAAATTACTGTATACAACTTCTCTCACCTCACTGCAAGATTAGTTCATACACAGCTTGGTGCGATTCCACAATCGTGCTTTCATGGATTGGCATGCCCTCTTATCGACTCAAGGTTTATGTGTCAAATCGAGTTGCAGAAATACAGGAAAATATCCCACCTTCATTTTGGCAACATATTTCATCACTAGAAAATCCAGCGGATGTTGGGTCAAGGGGTACCGCCCCACAAGATTTGATTAACCACACACTTTGGTGGAATGGACCTGTCTGGTTGTGTAACTCTGAAGAAAATTGGCCAAAGTCTGTCTGTAAATCTTTACCTGAAGAGTCTATCCCTGAAACTAAGATTCTCACAGTTAACACTCTCTCTGCTGTTCCGGATGAACCATTTTCTCTCCTCACTCGCTTCTCATCTTGGACAACACTACTTCATGTTTCCGCATACCTGCTGCGCTTCATTCATAACACCAGAAATAAAGTTAAACAAATTGGGAATTTAACTTCTCAGGAGATAAAAGAGGCTCATAACCTGATTTGTAAATTGGTTCAACGAGAATATTTTTCTGAAGAAATCTCATGTTTGAAATCCAATAAACCTTGCTCTGTACGCATTAGACGCCTAGCTCCTTATCTGGATAAAGATGGCCTCATTCGAGTAGGGGGAAGAATAAACAAGGCTGATATCTCTGAAGATCACAAACACCCCGTCTTGCTACCTAAAGGTCATAGGTTAGTTGATATTTTGATTGACCACCATCATGTCTTATATTTGCACTCTGGTCCAACTCTAACTCAGGCTATGCTGGCAAACAAGTACTGGATTCTCAGTGCTAGAAGCTTAATAAGATCTAGGATCTTTAAATGCATAAAATGTTTCAGATGTAAACCTCCTCATTCTTCTCCACTCATGGGGGAATTACCTATGAATCGAGTTACACCTTCAAGGCCATTTTCCATATCTGGTGTAGATTATGCAGGACACTTCTTTGTGAAGCAACATCTACTAAGACGAGTTCAACCTATCAAGGTTTATATTTGTATATTTATTTGCTTCTCTACTAAGGCGGTACACATAGAAGTAGTAACCGACCTAACAGCGGATGCCTATTTAGCCGCTCTTACCAGATTTGTCTCCAGACGAGGAATCGTTTCAGATATTCACTGTGACAATGCTACAAATTTCACAGGTGCATCCGAAAAACTCAGACGCAACTTTGAAAATTTAATCAAGGATTCCACAGTACAATGCTACGCTGAGAATTTCAATATTAAATTTCACTTCTTACCTCCACATGCACCTCATCAGGGAGGCCTTTGGGAGAGGGCCGTCAAAAGTGTGAAATTTCACCTAATAAGAGTCATTGGACAACAGACCCTGTCACTGGAAGAGTTTTCGACTTTAATCACCCGTATTGAAGGAATGATGAACTCTAGGCCTATAACTCCTCTTTCTTCTGATCCCTCGGACCTAGAAGCTTTGACGCCAGGTCATTTTTTAGTAGGTGGTCCTCTTATGACACCTCTTGAACCTGACTTGCGTAGCATTCCTATCAACCGATTAAAACGCTGGCAGTTAGTCCAACAGTTCAGTCAACATATCTGGGCTCGCTGGCAGAAAGAGTATCTGTACACTCTTCAAGAGAGAAATAAATGGGTCAACCCCAAGAAGAATATTGAAGTCAATGACTTGGTTGTCATTCATGAAGACAACTTGCCTCCACTCTCCTGGAAGCTTGGACGAGTTCTCTCCGTTTCACCTGGTACTGATGGAATAGTACGGGTCGTGCACCTGAAGACCGCAAGTGGACACCTCTCTCGTCCTGTGACAAAGGTGTCTGTCCTTCCTATGGAATAGTGAAGAGGAGTTACCACCCCCCTTTTTTATTGATTTTCTCATTTTTTGTGTTGTTTTCAGAACCCAGGGGTTCAGGGGGGGCCGGTATGTTAAATATTTAGTAATTCAACTAAGGACATTTAATAAAATATTTATTTAATAACATATGAACTATATACAGTCAAATATAAACAATTAATCAAGTAGTATTAACATTCAAGTCAAGTTTTTAGTTCAGTTATTGAAAGGATACAACAGCTGATATGATGACATCACTGTCCAAAGTTCACTACAGCACTTCGTACTAGTCAGTTCAGTTTAGACTCACCTCTCTCACAGTACACAGTGCTTACCTTTTGGTTTAGTTCATATTAAATATTTTAATCTCTCTTTCTCTCTTACCGCTCCAAGTGCATTATTTCATCATTTCTCATTTAAATATGGATTCCAAATTTATAGTACCAAGTGTCAAGCTAGGATCCAAGAAGATATTTTTATTTAAAGTAAATGTGTTGTAAATTTTCGTGTACAGTCCAGAATATTCATGAGTAGTGAATTGCTTTCTTTTTATTAATGAAGAAGAGTTTTAATTTAAATCAGTGAAGAATTACATACTACACAACAATAGTCATTTCTCAACATCATCTTTCATCTGTGGTCCTTCGATTCTCGTCACTCTGGCCAGAGCCATCGCTTCTCTGCTCATCTTGTTCCTGTTCTACCAAAACCCTAATGGATCTTCAGTTTTAGGATCTAAAGGTATTTCTCACAATTTTACCTCTTAATACCATATTTAACATATACTATAATGTTGAGACTGTGTACTTGTAGTAAATTTCAGCAGGATGCGGTTACAGTCAACGTAATTTACAGAGGAAAAGATGTCGCTCCTATTAACTGTCAATATACATTTTCTTTAAAAGCGTAGCCTCTTCAGTGTTCAAGTAAAATAATACTTACTTTAATTTTCCTTCATTTTTTACCAAAAACGGAGGATGGATTGGGTTATAAATAACATCGTAACTGACACATGAGGTGACTCTGATTTTAGAGAAAAAAATGAGAGGCTAATATACTTCTTTGTCAAATACTTCTTGGTACTTTCCTGTTAAAGGGAACATTCATTATTATCGATTTTTTAAATACAGTATATCAATATATTTGTTTTCCTTTACGGTCCATATTATTTTTGTTCTGATATATTCAAACACATTTTAATAACAAATTAAGAACTGATCTTGTTTAGGCAAATAATATAACTCTTATAGTGATTAAGAAATCAAACTGTTCTAAACTAACTTAACATTACTAACCAAACTGGCTGTACCATTTTGAAATTCAGTTTGATAACAGAAAACACATGTGGGGGATATCAAACGGAATTTGAAATGTTACAGCAAGTTTGGCTAGTTAGGTTAGGTTAGTTAAGAACAGTTTCATTATAATATTAATTTATTATTGGTTTTTATTTACACTGAATAACATTTATTCAACGTAGTTGGCAGCTGATACTTTAATTTGTTCATATTGATTCATTGGATCAAAAAATAAAATATTGATATAGGCCTATCGGAAAAATAATAATAATGGATGTTTCCTTTAACAAGAAAGTGCATACTTCTTTTATCGTAGGGGCCTACTAAGAAGGCTCTGGTGAAGTACACAAATTGTCGGTAATCTCTTAAACAATTTGATCTCTAGCGAAGGATATGAGTGAAGAGTTTGACTAAGCCGACTGTGAGGTATAATATACATAGGTCGTAAACCCAGGGGATTCCATAATATTTGTGCTGCATATTTCTTTACTTAATTATTTATTTTATACAGTAAACACAATTTCACAAACAATACATAAATAATCAAATTACTGCTGTGACAGTAAACAACAATTTGTTAAACAGCTATGCTCTTAAAATTTTAAAGATAAAAGTGTTTAAATAATATATATATATACATATATGTTTTGATTAAATTAATTGAGGACAGTGAGGAACTCAATGTAACCACAGGAAGTTTGCAGCCCTCAGTAAATTAAAAGATCTCATCGTTTGAAGATTGTTTCAAGGAACATTAACCAAACTTTTACGTAACAACTAAGGTTATTATTTTATTACTCATATATTTTTTTGGTTTTAATAAGAAAACTCGTCTTCTGAAAAGGTTATTTTAATCAAGGATAAAAAAATAATAGGTAGTATTTTGAAATAGGATTTAAAATTAAACACAAGGGCATTATTCCAATATTATTAAAGAAAAGGCTGTGTCTCAAATACCGGTTATTTATTTTATGTGATCAGTGAGGGTTGTGTGCGGCCATGAGAGGTCAGCGTCCTTGTAGACAAACAACGCGGGGGGGGGGAAGAGAAAGTCAAAGTCCAGTTGCTTTGGTATGCAGTGAGCCTGTGGAAGGGCAGTGACGGAGAATAATAACAACCCAATCACTGAGGGGTGGGAAGGGGGAATGTTTGTTTGGTGATTATAATCTCAAGTTTAAAAAAATTGTCCTCAGTTGATGCATTATCTAACAGTGACAAGTTTTAAGTCATTTTTTCTCTTGTAGTAATGTGATATGTGACAATGTTTGATTAAAACACAAGTACCAGAGAACTGAGCATTGCTCGAGGTGTTTGATTTGTTCAAGAGGTAAAAAATAGAACTTGTAGGCCTACAAATATTTTCAGTTTTACTACGATTAAGTTGTAAAGTCAATTTGTTTTCGGTAGACATCCACTCATCCTTAATTTACCTAACAAACATTTTCGTGTGGACGAGCAATTTATAAAATGTCTACAATAAGCTTCAATATAAAACTCATGATACAAAACGTCTGTTATCTGTTTAGCCTCCTGATCTAATTATCAGGATAGTACTGCGGATAGTCGTATTACTCACTAGTGCGGACGTTATTCCACATCAGGGAGTATTGTATCCACAGGGCATGTCTATAAATATCCAGAATTAAAGATAGTATATTGTTCTGTTTCAGTCTGACTAACACACTCATGTTTACAGGAGCAGTTGCTGATTAGCTTGGGAGGAACAGACATGAAGCAGTCCGTCCACAATATGCTGCGGAGAGTCATTAGTGACTCTCTTGCACTAAAGTTGTCATTCACAGGGAGATCTACAGCAGGGAAGAAAAAAGAAGAATTTAGAGAAAAAAAAATTTGCAAATGCATCTTTGGTAAGTTTAGATTACATTGAATCTGAACTGAATCAATATTTAAAATTTGCTGTCAATGAAAAATATATTCATGAATTTATTTTAACGTCAATGTAACCACAGAAAACATACTACTATAACCCAGAATGCCAACCACATGGTAAAAAGCATTAAGTGTTTTGAGAGAGCTTTGCCTCTCAATTCATAGGCAGCGCCACCAGCGTTGCCATGCACTCAGCATAGCAACGCTGGTGGCGCTGCCTACGAATTGACAGGCAAAGCTCTCTCAAAACACTTAATGCTTTTTACCATGCGGTTGGCATTCTGGGTTGTAGTAGTATGTTTTCTGTGATGCAACAAAAATGTAATCTTAGAAAGTGAACAGAACCATCAGTTAACCGTAGAACCACCTTGACAATTTTGCTTAAACGGACAGCCAAAATGTCTAGACCCTATTTAAACTAGAATGAGGTACATACCTTTACGTCAACAGTTCAATTGTATGTAGTAAGTAGAACTCACAACATGTTTCGCCTATTCAGGCATCGTCAGGTGGTATCCTAGCAAGAATGCTTTGTCATCATCCATGATGGGGTCGTCAAGAAACATTTAAATAAATACACACACATTAGGCACGAAAACATTTAACAATTAAAGTAGGCCTACTATTACCGGTCGCGGTACGGAGGCAGACTGAACATGCTGGAATTATGTAACACCGACCCCTCCTCCGTTATCAGTAGTTGTACTACAAAGGTCAAACTGTTCTTGTCTATTGTTGAAGGTTATTATGGCATTGAAGATAGAGTGTGATTTGAAATTTAACTGGTCATTTAAAATGTGGTTTTTATTGTGGCTGTCTTGGAAGCTTTTGTAAATTTCAAACTGTTCTAGAGAATCCAATTTATTTCCTTTATTACAAACATGGAGAATTTCCAGGCTATTGTCAATTGTATCTATGGTGTGATTTTTATCTATTAAATGCTGGGCGAAAGTGGATTTTTGTTTGTCTGCTCTGGGGTCGGGGCGATGTTCCTTGTGTCGTTGAGTAAATGATCTGCCTGTTTGTCCAATATAAAAATCCGGACAATCCATACACTTCAATTTATAAACTCCAGACTTGTCTAACTTGTTTTTAACAACATTTCTTTGTGTTAAAGCTTGTTTGGTTTTATTGGTAGTTCGAAATGTTAATTGAAGCCCGTGTTTCCTTAAAACTTTGTTGAGTCCATTCTGAGCTAAGTGGCTGTATTCTATGCAGATGTATTTCATCTCAGGTTCATTTAGCCCTAGTACAGGAGTTTTTGGTTTGGTTTTCAATTTTGTTATCAATTTATCTATTATGCTCTGTTTGTAACCATTGGAAATAGCCATGTGCTTAATTATATTTAATTCTTTCTGGTAGTCTTTGGCTGAGAGCGGGAATTGAAGTAACCTGTATACTAGGCTATTGTAAGCAGCGAGTTTATGTGATATAGGATGGTATGACGTGGCATGTATATGGTATGACGATGCCTGAATAGGCGAAACATGTTGTGAGTTCTACTTACTACATACAATTGAACTGTTGACGTAAAGGTATGTACCTCATTCTAGTCTAATTAAACAGTTCAGGGGCTATACATCATGAATTTTAATTCTACTGCCAGTCAGGCGCTGTTAGCCATCCAATACAAGAATGTCAAGTTGAAACTTTCAAATACAATACACAATATAAAGTTCAATAAAGATTGTCTACGCTTTAATGTTAAACCAAACTACATTCAAGTGCCGATAAAAAACAAATCCTTTGCAGCACAGAAAACTAAAGAGGCCGCAGAAAGTTTGTGGATCAAAAATGAAATTAAATTTCTGTACTACAAAAAACAGATGTTAAACTCACTTGCTTACAAGAAATATCTGGAATTGGCTAACACGCTGCATCCTGCCCAGTTAGAGCAGACGTTACAGTCTATTGAATCAAGTATCACCCGAATAATTAAAAATAAAAAATACACGCAAAAGAAAAAACTCACACGTCTAATAAATAGTCATCACTCTAAAGAAACTGCACTTTTATTCGATTTTGAATTCTTCCCAAGAGTTGTTAATAACTCAGATATAGTTTTTAATGACAAAGAAATCCACTTATTAGAAAAAGGTTTAAACTACAACCTCCCAAGAAAGGGTAAGAATGCACTTTTCAATGAGTTAATTAATGCTGAGTGCGCCATTAAATCTATACCTGACGAGGATGATAAAAACCTTGCACGTCTCACCATGTCTAAAAAACTCAAGAGAGCCTTTAATAATGAATTATCAAATAACGGCAATAACCAATCGCATATACATAATGAAGAACTTATAGTTTTAAAGAACATTAAACAAAAACTGGTAACTAATGAGGCTATCTTATGTAAAGCCGATAAAGGTAACACCACCGTGATACTACGCAAAAGTGATTACAATGATAAAGTCAATGAATTTTTCAATAAAATTAATATTGTACATATAAATAAAGATCCCACTAAAACATACCAGAGGAGGATAAAGAAATTAATAAACAACTCCGAAACTATCTTTTCTCAGGATGAAACAAAATATTTAAAGGTAATGAACCCATCAGCTCCAGTTTTTAGGGGCCTTCCCAAAGTGCATAAAGAAGGCATTCCTATCAGACCCTTAGTTGATTTTACTCCAGCACCTACATATAAAGTAGCAAAAAAACTAGAGAAGCTACTACGAGAAAACATAACTCTAACCAACAACTACAGCCTGATGAATTCCTATGAGTTTATTAATAAAACCAAAGATTTAAATATTCAAATGCATCACACGCTCGCATCTTTCGATGTAGTTAACCTATACACAAATGTCCCTATTGATAAAGTATCGGAAATAGTCAAACAACACCTAACCAATAGCCAAACAATGTTATCAGAATCTGCTGACGAAATTATGGCACTGCTAACTGAGGTTTTGAAACAAAACTATTTTACTTTTAATGGCGAGTTCTACTCTCAACCGGATGGGCTCGCTATGGGCTCTCCGTTATCTGGAATACTTTCTGATATTTATCTGAACCACATAGAAAACAATTTCATTTTTTCCGATTCCAATAAATACAGAAATAGGATCAGTCTTTACAATCGTTATGTTGACGACACCATTATGTTATTTAATGGCAACAATCGACAACTGAACCTGCTACTAAACTATTTGAACAACATTGCACCCAAATTACAGTTCACAATAGAAACAGAAACCAACAATAAAATAAATTTTCTAGACATGACCATTGAGAAGAGAGATAGTAAATTCAGCTTCAGTATTTACAGAAAACCTACAACGTCAAACCAAACAATACATGCCACGTCATACCATCCTATATCACATAAACTCGCTGCTTACAATAGCCTAGTATACAGGTTACTTCAATTCCCGCTCTCAGCCAAAGACTACCAGAAAGAATTAAATATAATTAAGCACATGGCTATTTCCAATGGTTACAAACAGAGCATAATAGATAAATTGATAACAAAATTGAAAACCAAACCAAAAACTCCTGTACTAGGGCTAAATGAACCTGAGATGAAATACATCTGCATAGAATACAGCCACTTAGCTCAGAATGGACTCAACAAAGTTTTAAGGAAACACGGGCTTCAATTAACATTTCGAACTACCAATAAAACCAAACAAGCTTTAACACAAAGAAATGTTGTTAAAAACAAGTTAGACAAGTCTGGAGTTTATAAATTGAAGTGTATGGATTGTCCGGATTTTTATATTGGACAAACAGGCAGATCATTTACTCAACGACACAAGGAACATCGCCCCGACCCCAGAGCAGACAAACAAAAATCCACTTTCGCCCAGCATTTAATAGATAAAAATCACACCATAGATACAATTGACAATAGCCTGGAAATTCTCCATGTTTGTAATAAAGGAAATAAATTGGATTCTCTAGAACAGTTTGAAATTTACAAAAGCTTCCAAGACAGCCACAATAAAAACCACATTTTAAATGACCAGTTAAATTTCAAATCACACTCTATCTTCAATGCCATAATAACCTTCAACAATAGACAAGAACAGTTTGACCTTTGTAGTACAACTACTGATAACGGAGGAGGGGTCGGTGTTACATAATTCCAGCATGTTCAGTCTGCCTCCGTACCGCGACCGGTAATAGTAGGCCTACTTTAATTGTTAAATGTTTTCGTGCCTAATGTGTGTGTATTTATTTAAATGTTTCTTGACGACCCCATCATGGATGATGACAAAGCATTCTTGCTAGGATACCACCTGACGATGCCTGAATAGGCGAAACATGTTGTGAGTTCTACTTACTACATACAATTGAACTGTTGACGTAAAGGTATGTACCTCATTCTAGTCTAATTAAACAGTTCAGGGGCTATACATCATGAATTTTAACCCTATTTAAATTAGTGAGGTACAACCAAGACGAACTGAAGACAGCCAAAGTAATCCTATAATATATTAGGTACAGTAAATAATGTAATGCTTTCATATTACAGTACATAACAATCAAGAATCGTTCTATTTTGTATTGTAAATCTATATATCTATATACTTATTTAATACGCAAGCAGGATTTTTGTGACAATTACTCCTCCGAAACTACTGAACCGATTGACATGTTTTTGGTGTCATTGGAAAGAGCGTAACGTGAAGCTGTGCAGGAAACTTTCTTTTTAGGTAAATAATTAGAGAGTGAGGCCCTGGGGCCCTTTAAAGTTTCGTATTTCTCCATAAGATTAACATGGGAAACAAACATTGTTTTGAAACTCCAGCTGTTGCTTTGACATTTAAATGTAAGCAACCAGAACTGTCAAATGCCTATTTCACAATTTCAGACAGCTGGTCCAAAAAAATAAAACAACTATGTGGTAGGTTTATTTAATCTTAGACATTATGATAGATTATTTATTATAAATCTATTTCAATGATTATGAAACAGATTTTTCCCATTGCGAAGCAAAAATTCAAAGTAAAACGAAGAAGAACATATGTTAATTGTAAACAGTCAATGTGTAAATTATCTATGTTCTATTAAAAATGTGTATAGTTTTGGATGTTGGTTTGTGTTTAATGATGTTATATAATTATAGAATTTTTATTTTAAGGATTTGGCATATGAGTAAGCCTATGATAAATAACACCATTTCAGAGTTCTGCCAGTTTTTGCCTAACTCTGTCCTGTAGAGTTCAAAGTATTCTACACCTTATTGTCTACAAATTGGCTAAATAATTTAGGTACGGTACTTTATAAAAGCTGACAGCCTTTTTACGTTGACTTAAATTGTAAGCTTACCTTTTCCCATCCATGGGCAGTTTGATTGTTATAAATTTACGCTTTAAACTGGAATAGGACTGTCATGTAAATTGTGAGTATTTCCATTAGTTAATAATCTTTTAATTGACTCTTTTAAAATCATCAGAAACTATTACTGTTATTAGTTTTTTTGTTTATAAATAACTCCTGTACTTCTTTGCAATTGCTCGATTTCGAGCAACATGTACACTAGTTAATATAAATTTACATACATGTATGTTTATCAATATTTAAAGCTGAATTATGAATTATCTCCTGTAATTGATAATGTGATAAAAAAATTATTTTATTCCTAAGTTTAATTTTGTTGTTCAATAGTTGCTGTATAAATGATAGTACCAAACGTAATGATCTATTAAATTCATTGTGTTATGTTCTAATTTAAAATGCAAACTGTACAGACATAACAACTGAATACCTAAGACACATCTGATTGGTTGAAATATTAAGGACGACAAGGGAGCGCGGAAATTTTTTAACTTTTCCTCAGAAACTAAACAAACCTCTTAAATAGTATAAAACAACTTTTAGCCTTAGTGGTAAACATACTATTTTGTGTCGAGTCCAAACCATGTAACTGTTTTTAGCTGCAGCCCAAAATGTGTTTGGGACTGCGGTTGCTTCTGAAGACAATGTTAAAACCGTGATTTCAAGGTGGCTTCAGAAGGCGAAATCCAGGGTGGATAGCAGGTAATGTTTGATACTCTTTGCCATATTATCATATTGCTTGTTTCCTCTATTACATTTGTTTTGTGCTGATTTAATTAACATCTGTTATATTCATTGTTTTTTTCTAAAATATACACAATACAGTCCACTTAAAGCTCTTTCTTATTTTTTATTACGAGTTACTAATTTATTAAGTTTATTTCAACGCAACGCAGATACCTAACATTTTGGTCCGTTCAGAAGACGGATACAATTGTCAAGAATTTACTACCTATGGTAAACACAAAGAAGATTTGGTGAGTTTTATAGACTAAATTTCTAACAAGACTTACTACCTAAATTTGGATTCACATTGTTTCAAGTTATATGGAATAATCAATCTTCAATTGAAAATGAGTATTAACAATGAAAATGCATTGAAACTTCTTCGATTGAAAAAGGCTAAAGTTGTTCAAAGAATAACTACTTTGTATAAATTGAGTGTAGATCATGTTTTTGAATCTGATGATAGTACCGAGTTTCAAGTTAGGTTTGACGAATTAAAATCTGATTACCAGTATCTCAATCAATATCAAAATGAAATTCTAGAAATTTTGATTACATTAAAGCTAGATGAAGAAATACTAAATGAACAAGCATCTATCGAAGAAATTGAGTCTATGTATTTCCATATTTTAGGGACCCATAAGAGATGCACGTCTACATCAACTATCAATCTCATTCAAACTGTCACTAAAATGCAGCCTCAAGTTAAACTACCTAAAATTGACTTGCCTAAATTTTCTGGAAACCTTAAAGAATGGCCTAATTTCAAAGACATGTTTGGTTCTCTAATTCATGAAAATCACTCCCTAACTGAAATTGAAAAATTCCACTATCTCGTTTCTTGTTTAAATTTAGAACCACTATCAATGGTTAAGACCCTGCCTCTAACAGCAAACAACTACATAATAATCTGGAATCAGTTAAAAGAATGCTATGATAACAAACGTCTCCTAGCGTCGTGTTACCTCGATGAAATTCTCAATGCGCAAAATTTGATTAACGAATCCAGTAAATCACTAAGACCGTTCATTGATTTGATATCTGAAAATACATCTGCCTTTAAGGCAATGGATTTCCCTGAAGACTACGGTGATTACATCCTTTGTCACATTATTTTGCAAAAAATAGACAAACATACTCGTCAACTATTTGAAAGGAAATTTTCTGGTATGGAGTTTCCTACACTGCACACCTTAATCAACTTCTTAAAAGATCACTGTAAGTCCTTGGAAGCAGCAACCCTATCAATCAAAGATTCTACCTCCTCTGGAGTTTCATATAAGCCTAAGGTAGGTCAAAGTACAAGGTATGTAAACAACAAAGGTGCAACTGCTACACCTCTCTCTACTTCTGCTCGACATTCTTTGTCCCAACCAATCTACAACAAAGAAACACTAAGCGCCAGTGTTTGTTTTATTATGAAGATCATTCTATCTATCAATGCTGTAATTTTCAAGCTTTATCTGTAAATGAACGAAAAAACCTTATAAAAAGTAAACAAGCTTGCTTCAATTGCCTATCCAGAAGTCCAAATGTCATTAATCACTAAAGAATGCTCTCGTAAGTTATCATTACCTGTCTCTCCATGCTACACTCCAATCATTGGAATTTCTAAATCATCAACTCATTCATCTCTAGGAGTAATTGATTGTCATATTAAACCTCGATTCAAGAATCATCCTTGCCTACAAACTAATGCTGTAATACTTGACTTTATTACTACTCAACTTCCCTCAGCCTAAAGTTGACTACAAATAGAAATTTGAAAATATAAACTGAAAAAAAAAGTTTTTAATGTATTTTTGGTTTTTATTCTTTTTTCACTACAAATATTTAATAAATTCAAACTTTCATAATTATTTGCAAATCTAGACAAATTAGGCTTTCCAACAATACATTAATTAACAAAATCGGTCCATTAGAAGTCTAGATTTAGTTGTACAAAGTTTAACAAAAATATCCCTAATTCAGTATTTTTACTAACTAAAGATTTGGAGGTCATTTTGCTTATTTGACAATAAATTTTAAATGGTGAATAAATTGTAGAAAGTGCACGTAATATTCTGAAAGAAGATAAAATTTCCTACAAATACCTTCCATGTATTTCTTGAAAATACTTAATAAAGGCATCCAAAAGCTGACTACAAATAAAAACTTGAAGACAAAACCTCAAAAAAACAGTTTTTAATGTATTTTTGTTATTTTTATTTTTATCTACAAATATTTAATAAAATCAAAATTTCATAATTATTTGCAAATTTACATGAGTTAGGCTTTCCAATGACTCATTAATTAACAAAATCGGTCCAGTAGAAGTCTAGATTTAGTTGTACAAAGTTTAAAAAGAAATATCCTTAACTCAGTATTTTCTAATTACTATAAAATCGGAGGTTCCTTTTTCCCAGACAGCACGTGAGCTTGGACTAAGCTTGGTTTTTACATATTTCTGAATTGGTATGACAAACTTGGAGTTTGGAACCCACTACAAATTTAAAACAGCTTTGGTTAAGTGAACTTGTGTGAATGCGCCAAAACTAAACTTGTTTTATTTACATATATAACCTGGTTGGCCAAGTCCACAATTTAAACACCTAACCAGACCCACGACAAGCTTGTTCATGTGAGTCTAAAGTGAGCAGTGCCATATGACAAAAGAATTTTCCCTCCACCCCTACCCAGAACGCTCCTAAAACCTGTTTCTTTGTGCTGAACCACCATTTTTGTTGGATTTAGACTTCCTCACTCTCAGTTGTCAGTTCTCACTTATCTAGTTCTGGTGTTGTGAGTTACTCGTTTCGTTACTAGTTGTGAGTTTTGTTTATGGTTTTGATACCAAGACGAAGCAAAGAAGAATTAAGGGATTCCTGTAAAGGTAAGATTTAAACTCCATTGATAAAAAATATACTTGTGTTGGTTAGTCTATGATGATATAAGTAAGCTAAGTTAAGCAAACAATTAATTTCATAGCATCAAGAACCCGTAGAGTTTTGTTTATAGCCTAAATCTTTTGTGCTTTAACCTTTGACATACTCAGCGCTTCACTGAATCGACGTCACTCACTATAATACTATACTCTATAGTCTACTGCTGAACTCAACAGAACAGTGCCAAAATTTGTGTTTAACCTAAACCATTATATCGTTGTTTGTATTCAGTAGCCTTATTGATGTGTAAGTTCCATCACACGCTGTAATCATTATAAAAGTAAAATAGTAAGAAATAAAAGTTCGATAACAATTTTAAAAACTAAGGTAAGTTAACACCCTGTGTTTGCAACACCAACAAATTCCAAATAATCAAATAATTATAACAAATAAAAATAATGAAAAATGATTTTAATAATAAATTTTAATAAACCAAATAATTCTAATGCAATTGTATTTTTTATAGATCTTCTGAAGCAGGCGGTGGAGTTGATGGGTTCAGAAAAGAAGTTGAAGGTGAAGTGGAAGATAGTGGGCATTGTATTTATTATATTAATAAATTGTCTTGAAATGTGAATGTCTTGCTTTCTAAACCTCATATATAACCAATATTTTTTCAAGATCACTCATAAAATAGGCTTCATTTTATCATAAATCTTTCTTGGTAAAAAACAAATTATAAGAAAAAATGTGGGCTAGCAAATGAATGGTGTGAAACAGCTTATATGTTAAATAGGTATAAATTATATTACTATTACTATAGCCTATTATAATAATTATTATTATTATCTCTGATCATGACAGTAATTGAAGTATATAAAACTTCGTACCAAGTTCTGAGTGAGTCTATAGGTGTGAGCTTGTTTGCCCAAGTCTAAAATGTGCTAAAACCAATTCCAATATGAGTCTAGGCCAAGTCCAATATGAGCCTACTAAAAGTGGGCTTGGGTCTCCAAGCCCATAATGAGCCTGTTTAATTTATCAGTGTGAGCTTGTTTGCCCAAGTCTAAAATGTGCTAAAACCAATTCCAATATGAGTCTAAGCCAAGTCCAATATGAGCCTACTAAAATTGGGCTTGGGTCCCCAAGTCCCGAACAAGTCCATAATGAGCCTGCTTAATCCACCAGACCCGTTTTGTATCCATCATTCCAAGCTTAGAGTGGGTTTGTGCCCATGAGTTCACTGTAGGTTTGGGGTTGGGACTTGGGTTGGACTTGGGGAGCCAAACCCATAACAAGTTGAACAACTGTCAACTTCGGTCTCTAAAACAAGTCAAAACCAAGCCTACAGACTTTGGTCCCTGAGTCTAAACCAGGCTTGGGGACTTGGGCCAATGGACTTGGAACAAGTTCCCAGCAAGCCCATTGTGCTGTTGGGGTTAGCTTTTTTGCAAATAACTTTTCAATGGTGAGGAAATCTACCAAAGTGGAAGGTGATATTCTGAAAGAGAAGAAAATTTTCTACAAATTGATACCATACATTTCTTGGAAATACTAAAAAAGGCAGCCAAAAGGCACACTAAAATAAAATAAAAAGTGTGAAAAACACCGTTTTCAATGTATTTCTTATGGAAAACATGTTTTTTTTTTCACAATAAATCATAAGAAAAACAAACTTTCATAATTATTTGCATATCTACACGAATTAAGCTTTCCAACGATCCATTAATTAATAAAATCGGTCCAGTAGAACTCTAGATTTAGTTGTACAACGATTTTTCAAACTGAATTATAAGTATAGATGAGTTTAAGAGGAGAATTTCCATTCATAGTCTTATGGCATCATGTTTTGTTTTTGTTTAAAATGTTTTTTCTTAGGCGTTGAAAAAAATGAATATTTTATTCTTGCAGAATGATTACCAAGCTTAACAGCAATGATGACTTAAAGCTCCCCTGGGTTTGTAGCTTGCTTGACTTTAAATTCATGCTCATGGACATTTATTTAGGTTAACAAATAAATTTGGAACAAATTTCTTGTTATACAGTAGACTCTCAGTAATCCTGCAGATATAGGACCGTGATACTGCCGGATTAGTGAAAATGCCGGATTAT